TAGACCCTTCTTCAGAAATTTCTGAAGAAGGGTCTAGGCCCGAAACGGCAGCCTTCCTGCTCCTATGATGCTGCTTGGCCTGCTGTGTTCATCCAGCTCTACTCCGTGTTATCTCAGATTCTCCAGCATCTTCAGTTCCTACTATCTCTGATACAATTTTAATCCCACTGCAAAGCCGCCATTTCTGAAGAAGGGTCTAGGCCTGAAACGTCAGCCTTCCTGCTCCTATGATGCTGCTTGGCCTGCTGTGTTCATCCAGCTCTACACAGTGTTATCTCAGATTCTCCAGCATCTGCATGTATCTCTATGTATCTCTATGTATCTGTGAATGTAATTTTTATATATAATCACTAGTTGTTATAAGCATTTGTTGCATTTTCAATACCAAAATATTCACATCCATTTTGTTATGTTACAAGAGTTAATATAAGCATTGCTACAACATATAAACCACCCTTTTGGACTCAATGCAGGGAGCGAGAAAGAAAAAATTGGATGGGTTAACCCTGGGATCATATTTACCCAACTTCTGGACACCTCACAAATTAAGTTCTGAGCAGGAAGTTTCACTGTTAATTTGTCTTAATTTTTAGACAAATCAATTGCTGGCAACTGGGTATTGGTTTTTATGATGGTCTTATTCGAAATGCGCAGGTAGAGATCTGCCTTAGTTACTGCACCAAAGCAGTAATCTGAAGCATGCAGAAAAATTCTTTATCTTTATGCTGTTAGCATCTCATTATCCACATAGCAGTCTTCCTTTATATACAACCAATAAAATAGATTCCCCTTCTATGTCATAGATTAATCTCCATCACCCACTCAGGGTGTAAACAATCAATCTCACCCCAGATGTTGCTGTCTCATCGTTTGGCAATATTTGTCCTATGCTGTCTTGTCCCAAAACCTTCTTGGAATGTTTTCATAAATGTAGGCTCCTGTTTACAAAGGTGCTACTGAGATTCAACTGTCACTAACTCTAAATTGTTTTTAGTACAGAGGTATCATTTATCTCTTACAGTCAAGAATCAAAATTTCCCCCTAGCATTAGTTACAATACAACGAGCCTGCTTCACATTTTGACTCATGCACACTGATTTCATCTCTAAATAGCACTAAGGGTCATGGTGGCATGGACAAATTTTGATATGGGGGCTCTGCGTTATAGTGAAATTTTCCCAGAGGCCCCCGACTGGCTCAGGGCCCAGTGCAGTTGCATGGGGTACAGTTCTAACTCTACTCTGGCTAGAACCAACACCAACCTTGAGGTTTGTATTTTTAATTAGTACCTGTTGGTATCAATCTAGCACAGTGACAAATCTGATATCACCCTTTATTCATGGAAGATTGGATAAGACTCTCAAACCATCAGTCGTGTAACGGATAATGTTTGAATCAATATGCTGATAGGGACAGATGGGTGAGTTTTTAATATTTCAGTTCACCCCAAGATTGTGCATACGTTAATTCCAATGTCTGAGTGAGTCCTTATGAATACATGAAGGACAATTTAATACAAGATTGAGCTCATTTATTTTCAGGTTGTACTTTAATTATTTTGGAAGTTTTACAAGGTGCCCTTTGACCAATCAATTACATTACAGATTACAATTCTAACAATTTGAAGTTGCTGAAAATTAATGCTAGATATCTGCAGTGGACAGCAATGACCTGACTTGGTCTTTCTCCAGTTCACACAGGAAATGTCTCTGTTCATATGCCCTTTTTGTGTCTCTGCTAACTGTCAATAACAATGTAGCATGAGCAACAATGGTGTGTTTCCCTGCCTGCTTTTGAGATAAAAGTAAATAATTTCATAATGTGCTGGAGCTTTGAGTAGTATTTTTGTCTGTTAATTAATAACAGGGTCCAAATGGAATTTCTGGTCTTGATGGAATAGAGGGATATCCTGGAGGGAAAGGACATTCTGTAAGTGTACCTTTCAATTTTAATCCAATTCACCATTCTAGAAAAATAGGCTTTATAATTCCACACTCAAGTTACAGAGTATTATCTACTGTGTAACAGGAAGACAAGTCTAGGTGGAGACCCTGTTGTAAAAACAAAGGAATCTTTGGATTAATTCCATTATGATTTGCCAACCATTATTCATGTGATCAGAACTCCTTTATCCTGCTCAGAAATCTCATCATATAAGAATGCAGTGTCCTCTTGTTGGATTAAAATTCCATGTAAACTTGCAGTGTTGTTTCTCCTACAGTAAGCACAGTGAGGAAACACTATAAAGAAAATAGGAAAGTATAACAGGACCAGAAAGTATTCCTTTCAATCGATGGCCCAGTGTTGAGGACATTGCATTGTCACCTTTTGTCAGTTTGCCCCTGTGTGCTTACTGAATCTCAAATTGCCTGGGGTTATCAACTCCTTCTGTCTCCATTGGTCAATTCCACACATTCATCAGCCTTAGGCAAAATTTTTAAATCTCTTAGTTATCTTCAGCCCATAATTCCAAGTTCAATGCATAAGAAAAAAATCATGGTCTTGTCATGGATAATGAGGATTTCCAAAATTAAAGACTGGAAACCAAAATTGGATCTTGGATACATTGGAGGAGACAAAACAGAGATTCAATTCTTCACATGGTTTTCCAACCATTTAGTTTGCTCGTGGAAAATTCAAGAACGCATAGTCTTAGTTCCTCTTGCTTCAACCTGATGAGGGCTATGTCAAATGCAGGCATTAATGTTAGAAAAAAGTTAACATGCAAACTCTACTTCTGATCCATGGGGCAGATCTGAAGAACTAATCGCTGTTTCATCTCTTCCAGTACAACTCTGAAGAACCAATCTCAGCCTCCTGTCTAAAGTTTTGGTATCACACATGACCCATAATTAGACCAAAAATCAGTCTCTGCATTGATAAACATTTTAAACATACTAAAAGAGTAAATCATTGTTTCAGAAAGACATGCCTTCCCTCTGGTTGGGAACAATTCAAACTGGGTGTTTACTTACATTACATGGAATGGTTTTGATGAGATAGGTCTTAGGATGTACCTATTGATTGGAGTAAAATAGGCAATATCCACTTCTGCACACATGAACAGAGCAGGAAAGGATTTTACTAATCAGTCTTTTGGGGCATTCAATAGGGTCAACATGGAAATCCAGGAATCAAAGGCATCAGGGGACAAGCAGGACCTCGGGGGACACCGGTAAGCTTCTTTTTATTATTATCCTAAGTTGTGTTAAAAATTTCTTAAAAACAAAACTAAAAAATTTGATCCCGAAGAGAAATGAGAAATAGTCTTGCACTTAAAGAACTCCCCAGCCTAATTGACAACTAGCAATAAGATACAATTCATCAACAAGTTTACAAAGCAAGGCTCCATTATTTCAGTGGCCTCAGAATATTATAATGTATATGTAACAGTGAGGACAGAATGTGATCTGGTCCAATTATCTCCTGACTTCTGCACTCTTATCTAACGATTGTACTGGATCTTGCTGCTCTAAGAGTAATTTTGCCTTTTGTAATTATGTATATTGAACCAGAATGAATTGGGATCCTGTTCATTGAAGTCACTGAAACAAAGGACCATGAGAGATATGAATGGCTTGCTGATTTACCTATTTAATTCCATCACACAATGTAGTCAATGACCTCATTACCTGTGTACATCAACATGGAGATTGAGTAGTTACTAATAAATCATGACAAATATGTTCTTTGTCACACAGGGCACAGATGGTGCAAGTAGATTTGGTTCTCCAGGAATAAAAGGAAGAAAGGTAAAGACTACATTATTGAAAAATGGATTAGGTTTCTAGACTTTTCAAAATATGATCTGTAATTGCTGAAGCATTATTAGGATTATGGCATCACATCCTCCTATGATACAGTGTGGTTGAATAGTTAGTCGGTGTACAGGATGGTAAATAGCTGCCTTATTGCAGAAGTATAGGGATAGAGTGTAGTTGCAGAAACTGAAGTGCAAGTCTCATTATCTGAATCGCTATTCTCGTTGGCATTCTTAAGTGACACTATTGAGAAACAATTTTTCATTTTCAATAATGTCGAAGATATGAATACCAAAGAAAATGTTAAAACTCAGTGTGCTTTTCTGACTTCTGATGCCAAATTGATTACTTTTCCACACTTTACAAGGCCACACCAGAAATAGTGGCTTGAACAGAAAGCATAAAGAAAGGAAAGCGGATAAATAGTTTGAGAAGAGTAATTTTGAATTATTTGAAGGAAGATGTGTTTCTGCGAGATATGTGCTGAATTTTAACGAGGGGTTGGTGTCTTTGAACCCTGGTGGAAAGGTCTATGGCAAGCCCACATGGCTGACTAGCCCCATTTAAAAACCATTGAGATGTTGGACTAAAAGCCAAACCTTAGCTACCATCAGAGAGAAGTTCCTATTTTTGCCTGCTGCTGGCCAATCAAATAGCATGTAACTTTCCCGTCCAGCAGCACCAGTGGGAATAATATCCTGAAGAGGAGATGCTGATGGGTCCTTACTTTTCACATATGTCTGAGGTCTTGGTAAGACCTGTTAGCAGACCACAAGGAGGGGTTTGGTGGATTCCAATCAGTAGGGCAGGTAGTTGGGGTAATAAATTAGACACAGGATTCCCAAGTAGGGTACATCCCTTTCTAGCTTAGCTGCTAGCCTGGACACTTGGCATGGACCATGGGAAAAAGTCCATTGGCAGTTGAGTGTAGACTTTTGAGTAGCCATTAGTTAGTCCAACATGATCCCCACTGAAGGGTCTCAATTGCCTCAAGGGCAAGCAGGCCTCCTTCTCAACAAAAAATAGGCAGGTGATGGGCATGGCACTGAACGTTACAACCCCCTCACCTGCCATTGCACTCTGTGAAAAATTCAGCCCCAAATCCAAAGTGGCCTCCTTCTGTACTGTGAACTTCCCAAAAAGCTTGTTTTGCCAACATTGTTTTCACCTATTACTCCCGTGACTTCGCAGCAAAGCAGCAGCTCTGCTAAAATCTCAGAAAATGATTGAATATGTTCACTGCAGATCAAGGATAATGTCATTTGATGAGTCTTGTAAGGTCATTTTCAGGATTGCATGAGTTCTGTTTGAGTAATTATTTTGTTTGAGATCACAACATTCTTCATTATGGAAAAGTGGAGAACAATATGGATGCAGATTGCAAATGCCTATCACAGGGAATTTTGTGCAGAATCACTCATTCTGCTTAACCATAAGTCTCCGTTAAGAATCTTAGTTCACTATGCATTCAATTTCAGATCATATGTCCCACATGAAATAAATAAGAAACTAGCCTGTAGACAGGAGTTCCCTAGCTTTTTATTTTAATTTACTCCCCAGCTTCTAAAGTTCACTTCAGGCAGAATCTGTCACATGCAAAACTGTGGATTGGTTGATGATCACATTTGTTGAACAAAGTTTGTGTTTCTCAACCTGTGAATGTCGACAAAACCTAAGGATAATCCAGTTGTGAGATGTAAGATGACTAAAGAACATGAGAGAGTAGATAAATGACCAATGTGGGAGGATTGGAAACACTAGGGAATAACTTTGAAATTAGCATTAGACAGTTCAAGGGGGCTGAATGTAGGGAATTGAGCACTAAACTGATAAGTAAAAGTAGGGCAAGAGCAGCAGAGGTTTGAATGCTCTTATCTATAAAACATAGAATAAAGGAGACCAGGCAGCAGTGGGTTGGAATAATCTAGTCTGGAGACAACAAAGATCTGAATGAGAATTTCAGCAATAGTTGACGCGAGAGGCAAAGATAGGCAATGTTTTGGAAGTGCAAATAGATGGTCTTAGTGGTTGCTTAATTATGTCGTCTGAAGCTGACCTTAAGGTCAAAAATAATGACACCAAGCTTGCAGATATTCTGGTTGAGTCAAATAGTTAACAGGGAGAGAGATGCAGTTGGTGGCTAGAAAGTAGATTTTGGAGCAGGGACCAAACACAATGGATTCAGTCTTCCCAATATTTAATAAGAGGCCATTTCTGCTCATCCAGGACTGGATTTTTGATAAGGAGATCAATAATTTAGCAACAGCGAAAGAGTTGATGAGGTAGAGTTGGATACATAACAGTAGCAATGGGAAAATTGCACCGTTGCTCAGGGGTAATATGTCGATAAGCAACAAAATGTACCAAGGTATCGTGAATCAAAAATCATTGATGAAACTAAGATGCAGGCCAAACATGATCTAATGCAATGGAGGAAAGCTCTGGGGCTGATGGCTTACCATAATTTCTGTGATCTGAACTGGAGTATTAACTAAGAATCAATTGGAATCCGATCTAGTTATTAATTCCAAAGAATGACCCAGCAGTTTTGAATGACTGCATGCAGGTAACACAAAAATGGATTGGAAATGGATTTTAAAACAGCCATATATTTTGTTGCTGTTAAGTATTTTAACCATAGTTTTTCATCACCTCTATGCCCCTGGGGATTTACATCATTTTTGTCATCAGTAATGATTTTGATGACATGGATATCTAATTATGCATTTTGTTGTTATCTTTTCAGTGACACTAGCTGAAAGAGCTTTACAAATTATATTTGACATTCTTTATTTTTCCTCTGATCCTTCAGGGACAGCCAGGAGACATCGGAAACTCTGGATCTCAGGTATTGGCAATATTTCAAAGGCGTTTGAGTTTTTCATGTTGTTTAATAAGAAGAATCCTGCTTTTCATTTTATTTTCATTCATTGCTTTCTTTTAGGGAGAAGTTGGGAAACCTGGTCAACCGGGCAAAGAAGGATCCAAAGGAGCTAGAGGGTCAAGGGTAGAAGTTCCATTTAAAACATTTAGTTGATCAAAGACGCTTGTGTCTTCTTTCAATGAAATATGTTGTATTTAGTCAATACTTTGCCATCACGAGCAATTTTAAAAACACACAAGATTATTTCCATTTAATAATTTTCAGTGCCTGGCTGTGCATCGTGCATGTCCGGATTCATAGCTAACATGGTGAAAAGCTGAAAATGAAGAGAATTTGAACAGATTAAAAGCTGTCAGTCACACTGCTTCTTTAATAAGTCATCCAATTGAATTTTGCAGAGTTATTATAAAATTATATCAACAGTATACAAGTAAAGCAGAGCTACTCGTCACTGAACGAATGGATGCGGTGATCTGCTGAGATTTAAAATGAAATAAGTTGCTGTCTTTGCTCTGTTTTAGGGTAATGCTGGATCTCCTGGTCAGCCTGGGATTCCAGGTAATGATGGACCTCCTGGACCTCCTGTAAGTTGGTCAGATACGTGGAGAGGTTTATATTTGCATATCTACATGCTCTTTGATAAATTCAAAACAAGTGTATTCATTGAGTAGATGCCAAAGGATTTATGAATTATTAATGAAAGGTACAGTTGCCATAGTCCTACCGGCTCATACGGCTACTCTCTTATTAGAGAGGGAGAGACAACTGGTAATGGTTTAACCCGAGGGGAAACTTTGTAAAGGACAGTCCTTCATAGTAACCTCGGCAGGTTCAGGAATTGCACCGACACTGTTGGTATCACTCTACATTAGCCATCCAGCCAACTGAGCTAATGGATTGTAAATAAACTACCAACAAAACAATTAAATATAGCTCATGCTGCTCCTGTCACATGGACAAGTGAACATTGAAAATATGAGCAGATGTAGACTGAAATAACTGCACAGAGGCCAGTCTCCCATCACCAAGTCACCCTTTATTTACACGTGCGCAGTACATGGGCTCTGACCAGCCAGCTCAAAGCCAGTCCCTAGACTGAGGACACCTTCTGAATCTCCTGTTTATATCTGCTGGCCAGGGCTCCCAGGTTAACAGTCCAATCAAGGACCTTGTAGTCAATGAGATCTGTCTGGCCTGGTTCCAGTCACCACACAGATCATTCAGCCCCTTGAACCTGCTCCATCATTCAATAAGACCATGACTGATCTATTTGTGTTTCTAATTGCACATTCACTTTTACTCCCCAATATTCTTTGATTCACTTGCCTAACAAGAATCTATCTACTTCTGCCTTAAAAAATATTGGATTGATGCCATCTCTTTGCCTCTGAGGTGGAGTTGTAGACAACCCTGTTGGAGAAAACAATTCTTCTTATCTCTGACCTAAAATGCTGAGCTCTAATTTTAAAACAGTGCCCCCAGGCTCTGGATTAATCCACAAGAGGAAACTTCGTTTCCACATTCACCTTGTCAAGACGATTTAAGATCTAATACACTTCAGTCAGGTTACCCCTCACTTTTCTAAACTCCCAGTGGAAAACAAGCCCAGTCTGTCCAACATATCTTCACAAAACAACTCACTCATTACAGGTATCAATCTAATAACCAAGTTCTGAACTGCCTTCTTTGCATTAACATTCCTATATCATAGAATCCCTACAGTGTGGAAACAGGCCCTTCGGCCCAACAAGTCCACATCAACCCTGAGATCATCTCACCTGGACCCATCCCCATATAACCCACCTAATCTACACATTCCTGAACACTGCGGGCAGTTTCAGAATGGCCAATCCACTTAGCCTGCACATCTTTCGATAACATTCTTCCTTAAGTTAAGGGCAAGTGTCCTATATAATTGAAACACTGTATCCTTACTGTTATATTCCATCCTCTCATAATAATGTTTATCCTTCCTTATTCTATGCTGTACCTGCACACTCATTTTTGTGACTCATGCCCAAGAAACACCAACGTCCCACTTGGAATTCTACTGTTGTTCTCCATTTAATGTTCTCCATTGTTTCTTTCTTTCATTCGATCTGCCAAAGTGAACAACTTCACATTTTCCACACATTATCTTCCATCTGCCATATTTTTGCCCAGTCACTCACTCATTCAATCTATCTGCAACAAGCTTATATCTTCTTCACAATATCCTTATGTAACTTGATGTTGTCTGTGAATTTAGCTACCGTGCCTCTTCTCCCTTGAAATAAGTCATTGGAATAAATTATAAAACGCTGAAGCCTCAGCACAAAACCCAAAATGACTCAACTAGTCACATCCTGCCAAACAGACAAAGACCTGTAACTGCATAATTTTTGTTTTCTAACACTCAGTGTTCTGTCGTCGTTAAAATACTACCACATACACCATGAGTTTTTGCTTTCCACAGTACCCTTTGACGTGGCACAGTGTCAAATGCCCCGTGGGCATTCAGTACGTCTACAGATTCCTCTGTATCCACAGCACATGTTACTCTTCGGAGAACTCCAACACATTGGTTCAACATGATTTCCTTTGAAGAAACTATGTTGACTTTTCCTGACTAACTGCTTTCTAAGTATGCAACTGTAATCTAAGCCCAACCGATCCTCCTCAGTGCAATTTTCGAGTGTTATCCCAACTTCCTGACGTCAGAACCTGGCTCCCAGTTCTTTTCCCTTCCAGCTTTTCCTGAAATGTTCATTCACATTGGTTGGATGATTGTCACCTGAATGAGAGGGCTCTTCTCACCTCTGTGATACTCAGTGTACTTGGCACATGGATCTCTAAAATTTGTTTTGAGGGAACATTTTAATTCAGGTCTTTTTTTAATTCATTCGTGGGATGAGGGTGTTGCTGGCTAGGCCATCATTTATTGCCCATCCCTAATTGCCCAGAGGGCAGTTAGGTGTCAGCCATATTGCTGTGGGTCTGGAGTCACATGTAGGCCAGACCAGGTAAGGATGGCAGTTTCCTTCCCTAAAGGACATTAGTGAACCAGATGAGAATTTCTGACAGTCGATAATGATTTCACAGTCATCATTAGTGTCACAATTCAGGATTTTTATTGCATTCAAATTCCACCTGCCATGGTGGGATTTGAACCTGGGTCCCCAGAGCATTAGCTTGGCCTCTGAATTAACAATCCAGTGATAGTACCACACAGCCATTGCCTCCCCACATATAATATTTAATAATATTTCGTATCCGTACTTAATTTTGGAGAAAAAAACTGGAGAAGTCATAGGTGATGAACAAGTGTTTCTGTACCCTGCTAAATCGAATGTCTCATTTCTCCTCATTGTAGGGCCAGAAAGGACCAGATGGCATTACATCTATGAAGGTAGGTCACGTTGTACATGTATGAAAGATGTTTACAGTTTATACATTATTTAGTGTTCAATTTTTAAGCCAATCTTTTCTACTTTTCATCACAGCCATGTGAATTAATATCGTATGTTCGAAAGAATTGTGGTAAGTACGTTGTTGAAGTTGCCTGTAAACTTTTAGGGAGTGGTCCAGCACGTAATGGGGCACCAGAAACTCCAGCAGCGTAGCTGGGAGCATTATGATCATCGCCAATCCCCTTTGGCTGGAATTTTTCCCAGTGATAAGTTAGGTATTGGGCAGACCACCTGCCCTTGGGCTATTGCAACTCTTAGGTAACCTTGAGGCCTGCTCAAGCTGTTGCTAATATGTTACTGGTGACAGCAATAGACTTCAGGCCATCCCCATTTGTCTCTCACTTCGTGCCCACTACCATTACCCCTTGTGACTACTTGTCACGACTCTTCCCTCCCATGACCACCAACCCCCCGCCCACCCACCTCCCTAACCTCACCAGGACCTAAATGACTGACCCCTGTAATGCTGCCCCATTTAACCTGGTTATCTGGTCTCCGTGGCTCTTCACCATCAGGGACAGGAGAGCTGCTGTCCCTCTCTGATTGCCCAGCAGCTCTTGCAGTTGAGCTTCTTTGCTGGTGGGGTCAGACCCCACACCCTCAAGCAGTTAAAATGCCACGACCATACAATGTTGTGCCAAGCTCACCCTACTGACCTTTCACTGGACGGGAGGAAGGGACCATGGACATAGAGTGTCTTAGAGTCTTACAGCATGAAGATCATCCCTTTGGCCCAATCTGGTCCATACCGACCAAAATGTCCACCTACGCTAACCCCATTTCCCTGAACTTGGCCCATATCCTTCTAGACCCTTCTTATCCATGTATTTGTCCAAATGCCATTTAAATGTTGTTAATGTACCTGACTCAACCACTTACACTAGCAGTTCATTCCATATGCATACCATCCTCTGTGTAAAAAAGTTGTCCCTCAGGCTCCCATTTATTCTTTCCCCTCTTACCTTAAACTAATGCCCTCTAGCCCTCAATTCTTCAACCCTGGGAAAAAGACTGAGTGCATTCACTCTATCTATGCCTCTCATGATCTTATACACTTCTATAGGATACCCCCTAAGTCTCCTATGCTCTAAAGAAAAAAGTCCTAGCTTGCCCAACCTCTCCCTATAACTCACTCACTCACTTCAGTCCTGGCAAGATCCTTGTAAATTTCTTCTGCATTCTTTCCAGTTTAATAACTTCCTTCCTATAGCAAGGTAACCAAAACTGAACACAATACTCCAAGTGTGGCCTCACCAACATCTTGTACAACTGCAATGTAACTTCCCAACTTCTATACTCAATGCCCTGACTAACGAAGGCCAGTGTGCTAAAAGCCTTCTTCACTGCCCTGTCTACCTGTGACTCTACTTTCAGAGAACCGTGCACCTGAACTCCAAGGTCCCTCTGTTCCTCTACCCTCCTTAAGGCCCCGCCATTCACCATGAAACCCCTACCTTGATTTGACTTTCCAAAATGCGACACCTCATTATTATCTAGAGTAAACTCCATTTGCCATTTCTCAGCCCACTTCCCCAGGTGATCAAGATCCTGCTGCAATTTCTGATTAGCTCTCACTATCTACAATACCGCCTATTTTAGTGTCGTCTGCAAACTTATTAATCATGCCTTGTACATCCTCATCCAAATCATTGATAAAAATAACAAACAGCAATGGGCCCAGACCGACCCCTGAGGGGTCACAGGCCCCAAGTCCGACAAGAATTCTTCCACTTTTACTCTCTGCTTCCTACCATCAAGTCAGTTGTGTATCCAATTTGCCAGTTCTCCCTGGATTCCATGTGACCTAATCTTCCAGACCAGCCTACCACGTGGAACCTTATCAAAGGCCTTACTGAAATCCATACAGACCATATCTACCGCCTTGCCCTCATCATCCTTCCTGATCACTTCATCAAAGAACTCTAACAAATTTGTGAGACATGATCTCCTATGCACGAAGCCATGCTGACTACTCCTAATCAAACCCTGTCTTACCAAATGCATGTATATCTTATCCCTCAGAATCTTCTCAAGTAACTAACACACCACAGATTTTAGGCTTAAAGCAGCCATTCTTGAATAAGGGCACAATATTCGCTACCCTCCAGTCTTCTGGGACCTCATTCTTGGCTAACCAGATGCAAATATATCAGCTAAGACCCCCGCAATTTCTTCTCTAGCCTGTTGGATATATCTGGTCAGGATCAGGAGATTTATCTACCTTCATACATTCTAATACTTCCAAAACCTCCTCTACTGTAATATGGACTGTCCACAAGATATCACCACTAACTTCTCTAAGTTCCCAAGTCTTCATGTCGTTGTCCATGGTAAACAAAAAGGAGAAATACTCATTGAGGACCTCGCCCTTCTCCTGCGGTTCCACACATACATGTCCACTTTGGTCCTTGTTATTCTTTTCAGTTATTCCTTTTCCTTTAATATACTCACCTTAATCTTCTCAGCCAATGCTATCTCATACCCCCTTCTTGCCCTCCTGATTTCCTTCTTCAGTAAACTCCTGTACCCCCTATATACCTCCAGGGATTCCCTTGATCCCAACTGCCTGTACCTGAGCCATGCCTCCTTCTTTTTACTGGTCAAAGCCAGTATATGGAGGGTCCTACTCAGGAAGGGGCAAAATACAACCTATT